TCCTTCTGGGCCTCCGTTTCCCTCTCCATTCAGCGGAGATGATAGTGTACCACAGGCGGGAAGTAGGCAGAGTCTGATAAGGGACCTCACTGTTTCCCGCAGTCCCAGGAGTCATGTCTCGGGAGGAGCTGGAAGGCACCATGTTTCAAATCCACACTCAGGGCTCATCAGGGGCCTGGGTTACTATAAACCCACTCCTGTCTCAGTCATTGCCTGCCAAGACACAGACGTGTTTCATCAAAGCCTCCAAGAAGACCCCCAAATTCTGGGAGCAATTAGCATCTTCATTCATCCTCAGGCTGGGTCCAGTAGTCCTGTGTGTCTCTTCTGCCACCAAGATCCCATCCCAAACGGCCACCGAGAGTGACCCCTAGTGACCTCCCTGGTGGTCCAGTGGTTAAGAATCCACCTGGCAATGCAGGGGACTTGGGTTCAATCCCTGGTCAGGCAACTAAGTTCCCACATGCCTCAGCACAACTATTGAGCCAGAGGGCCACAACTAGTGTTCATGTGCTGCAGTGAAAGATCCCCCAAGATGCAGTGAAGACCCTGTGTGCTGCAGCTAAGACTTGATGCAGCCAAATAAGTAAATCTTTTTTTAAAAAAGAGTGACCTTTAAACCTGGTGGCTCAGATGGTAAAAGCATCTGCCTACAATGGGGGAGACCTGGGTTCGATCCCTGGGTTGGGCAGATCCCCTGGAAAAGGAAGTGACAACCCACTCCAGTACTCTTGCCTGGGAAATCCCATGGACGGAGGAGCCTGGTGGGCTACAGTCCATGGGGTCGCAAGGAGTCGGACAAGACTGAGCGACTTCACTTTAAACCTCCAGTGCAGTGGAGGCGCACACAGTGAGTCAGAGTCCAGATGACTAGGATGCCACCATATGGGTCCATACTCAGAAGCCCCTCTGGTGCTGGGCAGGCCTTGGGTAGAAGGTGGGGGTTGGTAAGAGGCAGGAAGGGTGAGTTAGCTCTGTGTGTCCTACCACAAATAGAATCTGTTAGCACTCCGTGTGTAAAGCTATAGCTCTTCATTTTTAAACAGTCCTCAGCTCATTTGTCCTCCCACTCCTGTCCATGAACTTGTAAACTCTAAGCCCTGGAGACTCTGGGGCCTCTGATAGAGAAGAGTTCCCATCAGGGACCGGGGACCAAACGCGGATGCATGGACACGTAATTGGGCATCACCCCCTCTCTTCCTTAGGCTGTGCCTCTGCACTAAATTGCCAACTGAGTTATTGACAAATCATTTTCCTTCCATGACCCAGTGTACCCACCCAGGAATGTGCTTCTGCCCTAGATCCATGGCTTCCAAACTGGCTGTGAATGGAAATCAGCAGGATTCCTTCTAAAAACACAGGTTTCCAGAACTTATCCCAAGATGCTGAGTCAGCCCATTGGCTTATGGCTGCGTATCTATTCCGAGATTTTGATCAGTTTCCTTAGGGACCTGAGGCCCAGTTGGGATGCTTGCTGAGGTTCCTTTGTGCTGTTAATGCTTGGATTCTGCCCGCTTCTGTCTTGAATTTGAACTTGCACGGTAGTCTTGGCAAGAACCTGACACTCACACATGGCCACTGCTCACCTCCATTCCTGGCTCATCACAAACCAGCTGCGTCACCTGCTGAAACGCACGTTATGTCTTTCTCCTAATACCTCTATCCATCATTTCTGTGATTCTGTGATCTCTGAGTAAACCTGGGGCAACGCTGTAAAATGTAGCTCAGGCTTGAGATTCCCAGGCTATTCGTCCACCCAGCCTTGATGTGTGTCTTGGGAGTCATTTAAGAAGGTGGACACCAGCTTCCACGGCAGCAGCCTCATTTCTTTCCCAATATTAACTTAACCCCACCTACTCCCAGCTTATTGTCTAGACCACAGCCTTGCCATCCACCCGCCCCTAAATGACAAGCGCTGCTGTTGTTGTCTGTGCTTTAGTTAACAGCTAACTAGGAAGCCCCCCGGGAAAGGAGAGAGAGAAAGAGAGAGAGAGAGAGAAAACAACAACATAAGGATCCTGTCCTAGGGAGGGCAGTCTGGCAGCTGGCCAAAACAGCTGCAGAACTTGAGCAGTCTCAAGTTTCGTTTTAGCTTTCACACGAAGGTTTCCCAAATCCAGATGGAAACCAAAACCAAAGGAGGGAAATTGTGCAATCAATGGAATTGCTGATGGCAGTCTTTGAACTTCCCACGGAACCTGAGTGAGGTGCCTCTCGGTGTCTGTCTTCCCTGGGATCTGTCTCCTGTTCCTTCTGGGGGTCCAGAACCTTCTGCACCTCTGGTTCAAGTGAGGGTCTGAGGAGCCCATTCTCCACTGTTCCCAGGAGACCCTGTCTATTTCCTCATCTATAGCACAGGTCTTCCGGAAGGTCCATCTCTGCTACCTCTTTTCCCAGAAACATGAAGACAGTTACAGGAACACTTTGAATGATGCACATCCTTGGTACCTCCCCAGCATCCTCCGGTCACTGCATCCCCCTCATGATGAATATTCATAACTGCTGACTTAGTAAATACTGTGTTGTTGTTGTTGTTGTTTAGTTGCTAAGTCCCATCCAACCCCTTTGCAAGCTGGTGGACTATAATCTGCCAGGCTCCTCTTTCCATGGGGTTTCCTAGACAAGAATACTGGATTGGGCTGCCATTTCCTTCTCCAGGGGATCTTCCCAACCAAGGGATCGAACCCGCATCTCCAACATTGACAGGTGGCTTCTGTATCACTGAGCTGCCTGGGAAGCCCCAGGAAATACTTACTATATGCTTACTAAATACTTACTATAAGCATATACTATATGCTTACTATATGACTACAGTGCCCTCCTGTGTCAACTCTTTTTAGGCACTCGTTTTACTGGTGGGGAAACTGAGGCGCAGAGATCTGAAATCGCATCTGGATAACCAAATCCTAGCAGTCTGACTCCAGAGTTCATGATCTTAACCACCCTCCTGTCTCTGAGATGGAGCTACAAAGGAAAGAACACTTCCCAGCTGATTCCTAATGTCCAAAATGTCCAATCTCAGACTGGACTCATTTCAAGATGATCTTGGGAGAAAAAAAATGATGCAACATAAGTATCGCCTGGTTCAGAAATGTCCGGACGTGTCACAAAACTGGAGTCCTCCCTAACACTGTGTCCTTGGAGAACATCGGTAAAGAGTCTCATTACTATTTCTCAGAGGCCAGCACAAGACCTTGTTATCTTTACTATCATCCTCTTGGGCTGACATCTGCACAGAAATCAACTCACCATCCTTGACCGTGAGCATCCCCATGTTTCATAGATGAGGCAGGTGGGCCTAATGGCATCGGGTTAGGTCACAGAGCTACTTAGCAGGCAAGCTAGGATTATGCCTGCTTGCCCTTAATCCCTTGCATTTTGAAGAGCCCACTTGCCCTGATAAAAGAGTTTTAATCCTATTTCTAGCTCTTGCTTCCAGATGCACCTCCACATCAAGCCATCTCACTGGAGAATAAAAATTTCCTGGCTTACTTAGTGGCCTTGCATGTGGACTGCGACTAAATATAAACCGGATCCCCAAACCATGCTCTACTATGTATATCCAACATGATGCAATTGGCGGGGACAGTCCCAGAGTTTAAAAAAGCTGCCATTCTGGAAAGGCTTAAGTTCCTTCTTCTAAGGGGAAATCCTGAGGTCTAGACTGTGTTTTGTGTTCTGTAACTTTTGTATTAAGAGGTGATACTTGTTTTCAAAATATGAAATGTACAAGAGATAGAGTTTTAAAGTCTCTTATAAATAAGGGAAAAATAAGTGAATTCTCAAGCTAAGGATACTATCAATTTACAAGATAAAAAACTCAAACCAATGAACATATACACAAAGAACCAACCTACACATAAAAGTTTAAACAATGGAGTGGTTTCTTTTTACTTACTTTTTAATTGAGGTAATACTCTCCAAAAATAAAATTCAGTGAAGATAAGTCTGTTTTACACATGTCTACACTTTATGTGGGGCTTCTCTGATAGCTCAGTTGGTAAAGAATCTGCCTGCAATGCTGGAAACCTTGGTTCAATTCCTGGGTCGGGAAGATCTGCTGGAGAAGGGATAGGCTACCCACCCCAGTATTCTCAGGCTTCCATTGTGGTTCAGCTGGTAAACAATCTACCTACAATGCGAGAGACCTGGGTTTGATCCCTGGGTTGGGAAGATCCCCTGGAGAAGGGAAACACTACGCACTCTAGTATTCTGGCCTGGAGAATTCCATGGGTTGTATTGTCCATGGGGTCGCAAAGAGTCAGACACAGCTGAGCAACTTTCACTCATTGTGGGGCTTCCCAGGTGGTGCTAGTGGTAAAGAACCTGCCTGCCAATTCAGGAGACACAGGTTGGATCCCTGGGTTGGGAAGATCCCTTGGAGGAGGGCATGGCAATCCAATCCAGTATTCTTGCCTGGAGAATCCCATGGACAGAGGAGCCTGGTGGGCTACAGTTCATGGGGTTGCAAAGAGTGGGATACAACTGAAGTGACTTGGCACGTTTGCACCTACACTCCATGTAGCCGCATCTCGAATCAACATTTGTAGAACTTTTCCAAACCCCAGAAGTCTCCCTGAGGTCCCTGCCAGTTAATATCCCCAAAAGGGACTTCCCTGGTGGTCCACTGGTTAAGACTCCATGCTTCCAAAGAAGGGGGACATGGGTTCAATCCCTGGCTGGAGAACTAAGATGCTGCATGCTGCATGGCACAACAACAAAAAAAAAAAGAAAAAATTAATTTAAAAAAATAGCAACTTAAAAAAAAAACAGAAAATAATTTTTAAAAAATATTCCCAAAAGGGAGACTCTAGTCGAATTCTATCACTATAGGTTAGTTTGGCCCATATGTAAAATCATATTTTCATTAATAAAGCATCACACATTTTAAAAGAATAATTCATTTGCTTTCTACTACTATCATAATTAAGTACCACTAAAATCAGTGATTTATACAACACAAATTTATTATCTTACAGTGCTGAAGGTGAGATCCAGGTCTCATCAGACTAAAATCAAGGTGTTGGCAGAACTGTGTTTTTACGTAGAAGCTATAGAGAAGAGTCAATTTTCTTGATCATTCAGGGTGTTGGCAGAATTCAGTTCTTTTGGTTTATTGGACTGAGATCTTTATTTTTTGATGACTGTCATCAGAGGGCTGTTCCCAGATTCTAGAAGCCACTAGAACCGTTGGCTCTGAGCCCCGTTCCTCCGTCTTCAAAGCCAGCAACAGCATGCCGAGTCTCTCTCACACACAGCTGGGATCTCTTCTCCTTCTGTCTCATCTCTCTGATGCCGTAGGACAGGGTCTCCACTTTCAGGGGCTGTGTGAATAGGTCGGGCCCACCTGGATAACCCGCTGCTCCCCCATCTCAAGTTCTGAACCTGGAACCATATGTGCAAAGATCCCTTTGCCATGTAAGACAACATTCTCACCCGTTCCAGCAACTGGGACTGGACATTTGGGGAGTCCATGATTCTCTTTACCACAAATTGTAAATGTTGTCCAGGGTAAAACTTTCTAGAAAGCGATAGGGTAATACATGTTAAAAGCGTCAACATTTCATGCATTGTGATATGTTAATTCCATAGCTACAAAAAGAAATAAAGATGTGGGTCAGGATTTTAAACTGATTTTTTCCTCAGAATGTTAACTTTAAAGGTGAAGATATAAATCATATATATACCCAATTACAGTGAAAGACTTTAATTATGGTATGTGTGTGGTATGTAAAATGGACCACTATGAAACCTTTAAAATTCAAGCAACTGAAGAATACCTAATGACTCAGAAGAGTACATGACCAGTGTTAAGGAAAGAAAGCTATAAATATTATCACATGTGCATTATGTCTAGATATGTGTGTATGCACATGGATATATGGATATGTATGTGTATCTATACACATACATGTGTATAGATATACCAAAACACATATATACTTTCATATGTATGCATACATACTGCTATATATACACACAGAGAGAAATCAAGAGAGAAGAAAGGGGTAAAATAAACAAGTTTCAGCCAGATTCAATCTTAGCATTTAAGATGCAGGTAGGGTGATCAGTCTTCGTCACTTGCCCAGGATTGGGGGGTTTCCTGGGACACTAGTCTTTAGTGCTAAAAACAGGAAATCACAGGCCAAACCAGGACGAGTAGGTCACCACCCTAAATGCAGATGTATTTTGTCCTTTCCTTTTGGCATTTCCGTGTATTTTTTGTTTCCGGCAAAGAGCAGGCAATCACCTAAAAATCATTAAAAGTCCTGCAGGCTTGTTACTCTGAGTCGGGAAAATGCCAGAGTCTGGGCCTGGGAAACATTTCAGAAGCCTCAGAACATTTGAAAGTGTTACAAATCCTCTCAGTGTATCAGACAAGTGAAAGAAGGGCAGCGCCTTCCACCGAGGAAACAGATCTGAAGTCCGAGGGCAGATTCAGGAAGAAGTACCCTAATTCTGGATGGCAGCTGCCCCTGTAAACAAACAAGACTCCTTCCCTCTGAGCCTGTGTGATTGAGGGACCTTGGAGATTGAAATGGGAAAAGCAATCAATTAAAGACCAGAAAGCTAAAACTGAACACTTGGGAGCTGTAAATTGCAATGACAATTTCTTACCGGAGGTCCCTAGTGTGGGCACGCAGCCCGGGTTGCTGATGTAGGCTAGTGGGCAGGCGCCTGCGCAGAAGGCTCTGACTCCGCTGCGGTGCGTTGCTAAGTGCCTGGCCAGCTGATGTCTGGATGCCTTGAGAGGCGTTCTACATTTTTCATTCCGTTCCTGTGATAGAGTACTTTAATGTTTATGGTACCACCCTAAAGTTTCTACAACTGACTGAATGTTATACATTCCTATCTTTAAAAATGTAGGAAAAAAGTTATTTTTGACATAGGAAAAAAAAAAGTGAGCTCCAGAATGTTATGGAGCATAATACATATGATTGAATCAGGTAGACAGCTCTCAATTTTTTAAAGACTTTTATTTTGTATTGGAGTATAGCCAGTTAACAATGTGATAGTCTCAGGTGACGTCAAGGGGACTCAGCCATACATAGACATGTATCCATTCTCCTCCAAACTCCCCTCCCATCCAGGTCAATTTTTTTAAAAACACAAATAGAGGGACTTCCCTGTTGGTCCAGTGGTTAATTCTCCCGCTGCCAATGCATAAGGCATAGGTTTGTTCCCTGGTCGAGGAACTAAATTTCCACATGCCTTGGGGTTCAGCCAAAAGCTAAAACAAAACAAACCAAAAACAAACAAACAAAGAAAACCACAGAGAAATACAAAAGAGTGGCTGTCCGGTACGTGACACAGAACATGTAAAAGCGTAATGACTCCTTCACAGGGCTTACCAGCTATTCACCCAGAGGCTCTTAGCCTTCATAAGCCTAATTGTGATCTTCACAAATAATAAAATCCAAATATCCCTCGAGGGACCAGTTAACACTTGCATTCATTAAGGGCTTCATGATAATTTCCCACTTCACTGAGTTGAAGTGAATAACTTGATATGGCAATCATTAGTATAGTTCCCTGACATTTAGATAAAAGTCAGTTGGGGAACAGGGGAGCAAAAAATGTACAACGTATTTGATTTAGAGTGCTAAATGTGAAACCACTTAGACTCACCACTTTGCCTCAAGTTAAAAATTAAAACAAAAAAAAAATGTAAAGAGTGGACTGTTTTGGGACTTCCCTGGCCGTCCAGTGGTTAAGTCTCCGAGCTTCCACTGCAGGGGACACAGTTTCATTCCCTGGTTTGGGAAACTAAGATCCTTCATGAAACATGGCTCAGCCAAAATAAACAAATAAAGGATGGACTGTTTTTAATGGGAATTATTAAAAATGGTTAAAGCTAGGAATGTCACATAGCACAGTCATTTCTTTACAACAGCTAATTGTTACTAAACTGATGTGGGTAACAGGGAACGTGTGGTGGACTAGAGAGAACCACTCATATTTCTAGTGTTTGAGCTTCTACCAATTGTAGGATTATTCTTCCATGCCGTCTTGAAGATAGACAAGGGGTATGACCCCTTTTGTGTCACTCCAGGGAGAAGCCTTTAAGAGCTAGTTTAAGAATCTCCATGTCCCTTTGACTTGCCCCAGTGACCAGGGATGTTTCTGATTGATAAAGATCCCAACAGGCCAAGTGAAGAAAGACTACAGCAGAATCAGCACCCTCCACTCAGTTATTAGTGAGGAAACTATTCAAAGCAGGCCACCTATCAAGTAATCCTCTTGGAAATCATTTACATTCCAACTGGGCCCACAACTGCTGTGCCATGCTGTATCTCACTGTTCCATGCATTGCCCTAGAAATCAGGGCCCTGGGAAGAGGCTGGCCTAGATAGCCCGAGACCTGGGTGCTTAATTTTGTACACATAAGAGACATATCTGCTTTGCCCTGTTCCTCAGCTGTTCCATCAATAAAGCTGAAATAATGTGTACACTTCAAAAATACAGAAATCCAACAAAGTCCACTTCACCTCTCATTCTTAAAGCTGTGTCTTCAGACCACAGACCACATTGCCTTGGCCACCAGTGGGGACAGACCAGGATAAGGCATTACCTGGAATCCATACTACCAAACTAGCCAGGAGCTTAAGGTCAGGGTAACTTCTATCCACATCCCAGTGGTAGCCCCAAAACCCCAGGAGAAACTGAACAGCTTGTTGTCATCAAAATTCCAATTGATTCCTTGGAGTTATTATAAAGGAGAAAAACAGACATTGTAGATAGCCTCAAAAGGTCCTCTGTTTTTTATCACTTTTTAAGCATTGAGTGGGGAATGGTGATAAAAGGGCTTGGGGGGTGAAACTACATATTCCCGAGTTGAAATAGAATCTATTCCTGCTCTTCTTGTTAAGACCTATAAGGTAATCCTCTTTGAGATCATTTACATTCCAACTGGGCCCACACATGCTTACCTTTGTGACATGAACGTACAGACACAGGACACTGGGGTCTCTGTTAGAATGAAGACCATGCCTGTACCAGGGACCAAAGAAGCAGGCCCAGTGTGTAACTGGACATAGTGATGGCATCTCTGAGTTCCGGTTTTGGGCTTTTGCTACATTGTCAGAGTGACTCTGAGTAAATCAGCTTACCATTCTTTGCCTCAGTGTATATGTCTGTAAATGAAGCATCTAAACCAGGTTAATGGCCCCGAACTGGTCATGGTTAAAAGCCACCTGGAACACTTCAAAGAGAATTTGAGGCATTATCTCCAAAGATTCTGAGTGAGTATGTTAGAGTGGGTTAAGGCAGCCTTTCCATATTATAAGTCACTGCCTAGGGCATTCTGGTGTGATAGGCAGATCTGGGGACCGGTGCACTGGATGGTCTTTGGGGTTCCTGGGCACCTCTCCATATCTTCCTGCCTGGTTCTTGTCTTCTAACTTGAAATTGAATAATGGCTTTCACGCTGACATGCCCATTTACCAGCCCTGGCTTGTCACAGGGCAGTGGTACAACTTTATGACAAATCATTTCACCTCTATAATTCATTCTCTCAAGGGAAAAAGATTGAATAAATTAAATGCACTATTTTCTAACTCATTCTATAATTTTGTGAGCGTCGAGGACACTTGGGACAGAGCTGGAAAAACTGTTAGAATGAAGACCATGCCTGTACCAGGGACCAAAGAAGCAGGCCCAGTGTGTAACTGGACATAGTGATGGCATCTCTGAGTTCCGGTTTTGGGCTTTTGCTACATTGTCAGAGTGACTCTGAGTAAATCAGCTTACCATTCTTTGCCTCAGTGTATATGTCTGTAAATGAAGCATCTAAACCAGGTTAATGGCCCCGAACTGGTCATGGTTAAAAGCCACCTGGAACACTTCAAAGAGAATTTGAGGCATTATCTCCAAAGATTCTGAGTGAGTATGTTAGAGTGGGTTAAGGCAGCCTTTCCATATTATAAGTCACTGCCTAGGGCATTCTGGTGTGATAGGCAGATCTGGGGACCGGTGCACTGGATGGTCTTTGGGGTTCCTGGGCACCTCTCCATATCTTCCTGCCTGGTTCTTGTCTTCTAACTTGAAATTGAATAATGGCTTTCACGCTGACATGCCCATTTACCAGCCCTGGCTTGTCACAGGGCAGTGGTACAACTTTATGACAAATCATTTCACCTCTATAATTCATTCTCTCAAGGGAAAAAGATTGAATAAATTAAATGCACTTTTTTCTAACTCATTCTATAATTTTGTGAGCGTCGAGGACACTTGGGACAGAGCTGGAAAATGAAAGCAGATACTTTGATTCCCGAGATCCTCTCCCATCTAATCACATTCCTTAGGAGCCACATTTCCACATACTACAAACAATACAATCCTGTGATCCAACTTCTGGGCATATATTCAGAGAAAATCACAGTTTGAAATGATACATGCACCTTAATGTTCACTGAAGAACTATTTACAATAGCCGAGACACGGAAGCAACCTAAATGTCCATCCACAGAGGAATGGATAAAAAAGATGTGGTCCACAGGCACGGGGCTTCCCTGGTGGCTCAGATGGTAAAGAATCTGCCTACAATGCAGAAGACCCAGGTTTGATCCCTAGGTTGGGAAGATCCTCTGGAGAAGGGAAGGGCAACCCACTCCAGTATTCTTGCCTGGAGAATCCCTTGGATAGGGGAGCCTGGCAGGCTACAGTCCATGGGATCACAGAAGAGTTGAACACACATATATATGATGGAATATTACTCAGCCATAAAAAAAAGAATGAAATAATATCATTTGTAGCAATATGGATAGACCTAGAGATTGTTATACTGAGTGAAGTAAGTCAAACAGAGAAAGACGAATATAGTATGATGTTGCTAATATGTGGAATCTAAAAAAATAGTACAAATGAACTCATTTGCAAAACAGAAATAGAGTCACAGCTGTAGAAAGCAAACTTACGGTTACCAGGGGAGGAAGCAATGGGGGAGGGATAAACTGGGAGCTTAAGATCGACATATACAAACTACGACAGATAACTAATAAAGACCTACTATATAGCACAGAGAACTCTTTTCAATACTTGATAACTACCCATATGGGAGAAGAATCTAAAAAAGAGTGGATATATGCATGTGTATAACTTATTCACTTTGCTGGATAGCAGAAGCTACTACAACATTGTGAATCAGCTACAGGCTAAGAAAAATTCTTTAAAAAAGAAGGAAGCAGTAAAAAACAAGCAAAATGAAGCAAAACAACTAGTACAAAAACAAAACAAAGTATGTAAGAACCCAGATCTACTTCCACAGCAGGGTACCCACTTCTGGCCCTCTATTAATAGAGGTTGTTTCTGATCTCTGGTGCCCCTTCACAGCCACTGAGCCCTAAGTGAGCTGTCAAAACTGCTTAAGGAAGATTGGGAGGATTGGGAATATTGGGAGGATGCTGAGCAGAAAAGAGAGAAGGCAGAGTGACCACTTCCTTAAAGAACAGCATAACCACGATACTGGAAATAACAGCTGCTGAACTTGCATGGCCTAAAGTTTCGTTTTAACTTTTTATGTTGGGATTTCTTGAATTCAATTTGAGGACAAAACAATAGAGGGAAATTGCATAATCAAACTGACTCATCACTTGAGGTCTCTGAGCTCCTGGAAGAATTAAGACTTGGTGCCTCCTGGTGTGTCAGCCCTGGGGTCTGACCTTCATCCCCACTGTGGACCCCAGAACATTCCATGCATCTGATTCATGGCAGGATCCCAGGACCACACTTCTTTTCCTCTGGGGGTCTCTTTTTTTCCCCTTCATCTACAATCCAGACATTCCTAGCAGTCTATTTCTACCACATATCTTAGTTGGAAGCAATTTTAAGGACAATTAATACAAGAGACCAGGGGCCACACTGTGGGTCCCTTTCTAGCACGTTCTAGACACAATACCTTTCTTACTTGACTATTAATAACAGCTAACTTATTGATCACTTGTCATATGTTACTGAGGGTTTCCCCAGTGGCTCAGCAGTAAAAAAATCCACCTTGTAGTGCAGGAGACATGAGTTTGATCCCTGGGTTGAGGAGATCCCCTGGAAGAGGAAATGGCAACCCACTCCAGTATTCTTGCTGGGAAAATTCCATGGACAGAGGAACCTGACAGGCTACAGTCCATGGCGTCGCAAAGAGTCGAACATAACTGAGCAGCTGAGAATGCATGCACACATGTGTTACTCACTCTGCAAAGCAAGTTTTGGATATCAGATCACTTAATATTCACAATAAACCCCACTTCCACATAAGAATAGGCGAGTAAAGAATATCTGACATAGATATTAACTAGTATTCCTTGTATCCAGATCCAGACTTTTAACCACCATGCTATTCATCTTCTCCTCGGGCTGACAGCTAAGTACATTTCTCTGCCAGTTCTCTTGGCATGCTAGCTTCTTAGTCTCTGAGTGGATGCTTCCCAAACATAGATGAATTAAGTTACAGAAGAGCTGAAATATGATTTAATCCAGGAACAACATCTGTGTTATACAGGTAGTACCACTTTCTATTGCTGCATCCTTGGCAGACATCACTAATCAATCACAGCACTGCATTCAATAACCCAAGGTAAGCCTTCACTGGAGCTTTTGTTTGGTTCTTTTTTTTTTTTTCAACAAGCCTTTCTGTTTATCTGCCATCAATCCATTAAGTTAACAAATTATTGAAAACTATTTGTCATCCCTGAACTTGTCAAACCCTTCTATTTTATAGATAAGGACAATGAATTTAGGAATCAAGATTTATCCATGGTCATACTGGGCAGGTCATTGGCTCATTATTGGCTCCATCAGGATTAGAATTGAGTTACTTGACCATTAGTTCCCTTCATTTGACTAACGCTTGTTGATTCTCAACAATATCATTTTTGCTACTAATTGTGTCATCTGCTTATGGATGAACTTTCCATATGAAGGCAGCTCAGGGGAGAAATTAACAGGGCCTTGAAAGTTTTGTGTGAGACAGTGACTTTATTTCTGAACAAAAAAATGTGTGCAAATGACCTCTTAGACAACACACTCCCACAGAAGTCAGGGCTACAAGGTACATCTGGCAAGAGGACTGTCTGGAAGAACTCAAGTTCCCTTCTGGTCATAAGAAATTCTGATGACAGTGATTTATCCCATGTTCTGCAAATTCTCTACTCTTATAAGTCTGCACAGTATAATAAAAGGAAAATGCATGAGATAAATGTTCTAAAGTCTCTTGGGAATCAGTAAGAACAATAAAAGGCCATATGTTATAGAAACATGAATGAGTTAATCACAAGAAAAAAATAATTAATGCACTCGCTAAAAACAACAATTACATTAGAATGTAAGCACAATAGTGCTGTGCTTTCTATTTACTTTATGTGGAAGCTTAATTTATATACAGTAAAGTGCAGACACTTTAAGTGTACAATTTCATGAATTTTTAGTAGACATCTGCTTAAGCACCCCTCTGAGTAAGATAAAGAATGTGTCTGCCTCTAAAAAGGCTCCTGCATGATGTCAGCACCACAAAGGAAACTGCTATTCCATTGCTTAGTTTTACCCTTTAACAAGATAAATATCTTTTTCTTAGCAATTGTCAAATATTTTTAAGAACAATAAACTCACATTTTAATGAAGATGGAAATCTTCCGGCACTGTAAAATGCTGTAATTTGATTAAGAGCCTTAATAATAGCCATATAACTTGATTTATTAATCCTTTAGCTATAGAATGGGAGACAGTAATGATTATGTTACATCAGTTTTCTCATAATTGTTGTTTATGATTGTGAAAAAGTGGAAATTGTGTAATTTCCAACTGTAGAGAAAGGCTTCACTTAATTATGGTGACTTTATATATGGACTCTTATGGAATATTTAACATTCAAGATTATTGGGGAATATTGAATGATTTGTGAAAAGTCTGGAAATGTTCATTGAAAAGGCAATATGCGAACTTGGATTTGATGAAGAGATTTTAGCTAGAATACCAAAAGCAACATCTATGAGAGAAAAAATTGATAAATTGAACTTTATTAAAATTTAAAACTTTTGCTCTGTGAAAAATATTGTTAAGAAAATAAGCTACAGCCTGTGGAGAAAATATTTGCAATGCACATAGCTGGTAAAGGATTTGAATGCAAAATGTTAAAAGAACTTTTCAAAGTCAGTTGTAAGGAAACAAACAACCTAACTTTTTAAGTGGGCAAAACACCAG